TGCCTGGTGCCCACAATCTGGCAGCCAAGGAATGGATCTCTGTGACTTTAATCAGCAAAGGAAGCACTACATTTATCTCTGCCTCCCTAAAACCCTTCCTCTCCTCTCATCATACCATGCAGTATCAACATCGATGRGGCTGCTGACAATTTTTTTTAATGGGAAGAGATRGATTGAGCACACTGTATGAAAAATGCAACACTGTCTCTGCACGTACAACTTGAAACATAAACTAAATCTCTACTTTATTTTTAATGGCAAAAAAMCAGTTGTCCAACAGGTGGGAACTAATAACTTTGTCAAATTAAGTCTGTCAACACTTTTCTAATCTAAACAGGTCCTGCACCTGGAATTAACTTACGAAAGGGCAGGATCTGGAAAGACCTGGCAAAGATGGGTCCAAACTTCCCAAATGCAGCYTCAGGCAGCTCTGCAGACCCTGGGCAGCCTCAGCTATCCCTGTATAGCTTAGCCCCATGCCAGTCCTACTGCAATGGTGAGAACAGGGGAATGCTTTAGCCRCAGACTGGCAACCCTTATTCAGCCMGAAGGGAAATAKGACAAAAYCAGCTCCAAAMCCAGTAAAAATGCYGAATTAAAAGGAAAGTWACCAGGTATTTYCAACCAGCTCCTKGAACATCATTACCAAAACAAAGCAGAAGTTTTTATGTAAGAGGGCTAGTACACAATCAGTGTTAAATACATGGCTGCAGGTAAGAATTACTTGGAGAACATTATCTTGATATATCAACCTTATCCTGTGAGCTCTACACAGTCCCTAAACTATATACAAGTGAAAACACCTAAATGCTCAAAGTTTATGAAGTGTTTGCTCGCGGCGTGACTGGAAACCAACAAACCGAGCCCAGSTCTCTGCTAACCCACCTGCGGAACACACAGGCAAGAGAATGAGCCGGTGGAGTAATAAAACAACACCTGTTCTTTGGGATCCTCAACTGGAAAAGCAGCATTCCCACAAGTAACTGAATCCTAGGTAAAAATGGRAGAGCTGGGAGGAGRAAAAAAMCAAACCAAAACARAGCCTGAAARAAGGCAYATGYACTGCTGTCAGCTGTTCTGTGTTTACCCGAGGTGATGTTTCTGTACCTGTGTGGCGGGCTGGGAGCCTGGCAGGCAGYCTGCACTCAGCAGCCCCGCTGGGCACGGTTTTGCAGCAGAACCGCGGTGCCAGGGGGGCCCCTCAGGGCTCTGGGCACAGTCCCGGGCCGGCAGCGGCCCCGTGTCTGTCCGCACCTCGCACCCAACCCCGAGTGCGGCACGGAACCCGCCACTGCGGGGACAGACCCGGGCCGGGCTGAGGCGAAGCCGGCCCCCGGCCCCCCAGCCCTCTGAGCGCGCCGGGACCGGGGAGGGGGCAACCTCCGCCCAGCCGGGACCCCTCCACCTCACCTTGGCCCTGCCATCCTCCAGCTTGCGCCTCCGCGGCTCCTGCTGCGCCTCCATGCGGGTGCGGGGCCAGCGCGCAGCTCCCGCGCTGTCAGAGCGGCGGCGGCGGCACAGGCTCGSTCATGGCCGCCCCGGCCGCTCCCCGCCCGCCGCCGCGCCAGCCACACCGCGGGGGCGGAGCCCTGCGCCCATTGGYCACAGCGCCCAACGCAGCGCGGCCGCCGACCAATGGGAACAGCCCTCCTCTGCCGGGCCACGCCCACTCCCGCTAAATGGCTCCTGGGATACCGCGGGCAAGGCGGTGCGAGCGCCCGGCCCCGCCCCCTCCGCGGCGCCCACCAATGGGAGCGGCCCGCGCCSTTTCAAAAGGGCCGCTGGCTCCGCCCAGCACGGGAGACAGCCAATAGGAAACGGGATCGGGCGGCAGCCAATGGAGGTGGGGCTGGAGGCAGCCAATAGGGTGTGGGGGCGGGGCCCGGCCCGCGGGTTGGTGGCCCTGCTCCCGCCTTTTCGTTTATTTATAAAGTTTTAGCAAACAAATAAATTAATGTTCATTGGCTCTAAGTTCCATGATTTTTTCAGTAATCAGTACTCTATCCTCTGTTGCTTATTGATTTCTCGCTCTTCATGCTAATTTGGTCTCCCTTCTTTAGTCCTGTTACCATCCTTTTTTCAGATGGAGAAAACTTTTCTCCAACTTTCAGGCCTTAATTTCTGGTACATTCCAGTTACTCCAATGTCATTCAAGGGCCATAAATTTAAGATCCCAGATGTCCAGTCTTCAGCTCCTTTTGGCTCTGCTTATTGRAGCTACAAAACTAGCGGCTTCTTTGTATTTTGAATTCATTAAATTCTAAAAATACATCTTYAGTGGAATCTTACTTGGAGCAGTGTGCTGGATTAGCAAGGCTTTCTCCAAACATGAGAAAGCCCATCTGCATGCAGGGCTGAGTTAAGGTCAAGCTTTATCTCTTTGCAGAGGTTTCTGGGTTCAATATTTCTGGTTTTCTTCTTCATGAACAATTTTACTCTTCTAAGGAAGAGTGAAAGTTTTGGTGAGCAAATGATGCTCATGGTAGATCTGATGCTGAGAATGGGCTCCTAAGGCTAATTCAGGTCATCTCCTGCTTTGTCAGCTCTTGAGGGGTTTATTTGTTTTTCCTGGTAGTGCTGTCATGCTCTCTGATYTCATAGCCAGGATTCTGATATTGTCCCCAGCCAATACTGAAAGATAAAGTCTGATTTATGAGATTTCTTAGCAAACACTTGCAAGGATGGGRCARCCACAACTTYTCTGGGCAACCTGTGCCAGGGCCTCACAGAGAAAAMCTTTKTYCCAATATCYAATYCAARYCTAMTCTCTGTCAGTGGGAAGCCATTCCCCCTTGTCYCATCTCTCCAGGCCCTYRTAAATTGTCTCTCCATCTTTCTTGTAGTCTCCCTTCAGATATGGGAAGGCCACAATTACRCCACCCCAAAGTTTCTCTTTTCCAGGCTGATCAATCCCAATTCTCTCAGGCATTCTTCATAGCACARTTGCTCTAYCCCTCTAATCATCTTGGTTATCATCACAACCTCTTTTAAAATTGTGTTTTGGAACTTGTAGAAATTGACACTAAGGGTATAAAATAACAAAATCAATAAAAGGCATCAAAGGAATGCAATAATTCTTCAATGGACCTCACCCGGTTATCTAATCTGTTCTTGTATCTGAGGAGTCCTACAATGGTTGTACAATGTTCAGCATATTTGTTTTTAATTGTTTGTAAACAACTTCTGTGAAAGCTTTTCCTTTGACAGCTGCTCCATCATTTCCCTTAGTGGATAATTAAGATTCTTTCCCCCCGGTTTTTATCAGATTTTCCTCTTCCTCATTAAGCCAAATGCTCCCATTTTTTCCAGAAAGAACCTCCCCACCCCACCCTGTTCTTGATTGTATCCTCTCAATTATTTAAGAATAAGTCTATCCTCACCACCTACTTCCTAATTAAACAAAGCCAATTCTTTCAAGTCTTCCTTAGAACCTACATTTTGTAAATGYATCCTTCTTTTTTTTTCTGGACTTTCTGAAACCACCACCTCTAAAAATAGGCACAGTGTCCAAACTGTGACTTCAGCCCTGCTAAATAGAGCAGAATAATTATCTCCTGTGAGGTACATGTAACACTCCTGTAATTCCCTTGCAGGATTAAATTTGTCTGGCTTTGTGCTTTTGAATCCTCATGCTCAAGTGTGATCCCTTGTTTGGGATCCAGKGTAGCTATAGATCCCTTTCAGCAAGATCTCCTTGTGTGTGGCTGGCGCATTCCTGACACCTCATTAGTGGGCTGTAAGATGTCCCAAGAATGGGGATCACACTGTGTCCAAGGCATCCGTAAGTGTGGGAAAAGAGAGATCCCTCAGCAGGTTTGCTGGAAAGCATTTTTTTTTTTTGCCTGGTATAGGATTTCCTCTGGGATACCTGTCACAGCATGCAAAAATTTCCTTTCCTTTCCTCTTCAGTAAATTTAGTTGCTTAACACTGGTGTTGTATTTTTAATAGAATACTTATACCTGGTTCTTTTTTTTTTTTTTCAAACTTCYTTGTATTCCTCTATTCATACTGCAATGAAGGCTCTAGAAATTTAACTTTTAGGAGCACTTTGCTGAATCAGTTGATGGTAGAATAATCACCTCAATACTGAAGCCCGAAAATCAGCTATAAATAAAACCCCATAGACTGGTGTCTATAGAGCAGGTATTATTCTTTAATGCAGCACTGGAGGTGAGGGGGATCTCTCCACCTAACTCATCCACCTTTGTCAAGTGTTGTGTCTTATTTCTACAATGAGTATTGCTTAATACTGCTGTGTCACCATAGCATCATCATATACACATCCTGAACTAATTTACATAAGGTTACCTCATGGTTATAAATAGTTTTTCTGTACTGTGCTTGCACTGACCACATTTAGGTGGCCTTGGGGGATCTTCTTTGATGAAGGCTCAAGGTCTTCCTTGCATCTGTACTTTTCAACTTTTCCTTTGGAGCATGCACAGTTATGGTGTTCTTGGGCTTTCTGGATCTAACCAGTCTCAATTCTTCATCTTTTATTTATTTTTTTTCTTGTCCACTACTGTGCCGGGCGTTCGCTTTACCAAAGATAAACACAAGCTTCTGTGCCTCGAGATGAAATTGTTTGTTATGTATTGACTTTACAAACTTAGCAACCAGGTTGCAGGCACGAAACTCTGAGCTCATTAGAAGGCTCTACCAACACAGAGGCCAGGCTTAGTGAYGCTGCCAGGGGAAGGATAGCAACTATTAGGAATAGACAAATTAATATTCCTCAGTTGCCCTCCTGTGAGCATCACAACCTGCAGCACAAAAGTGTGTTGAGAGAAGCTGTGTCTGTGATGTTGTGAATGCTTGTCCTTGTTTTTACCTGGGACTGAATCTGAAGCTTTTATCTTCTCTCAATTTCCACTCGTATTACTGTTTTTTAATAATGGAATTATTCTATGAAGATCGTGGAGAGGATAAAAATGAGCTCTGAAAACATATCTGCCTCTATTTAGCTTTTTAACCTGTTTTTAACTGCCTGCTCTTCCAGGAGACAATGGCAGATCCTTCAGTGGTGGATCACCTGACACGTCTGAAACTCAAACTCCTAGAAAAGGTAAGGGAATAATTCTGCAGTGGTCACCTTTGCTCTGCTGTTTGGTCTTGCACGTTTAAGCATTAACACTGTATTTTAAAATAGTATAATGCTACTAAGATACACTGAGGGATGTCCTACTTACTGTCACTGTCTTAAATAACATTGCACAAGTTTATGTGGACCTATGCTAAATTGAATTGGCTTTGATTTTATGGGAGATGTCACCAGTTAGCTCAAAGCCAGTTTGACGGACAAAGTTTTGGAATAAATCTTGGGTAAAGAGGATCTCAGATTGTTTTAAGGCAATTTTATGTCTGCTTTCACATAAGATGCGTTGCCTGGTCAGACCTTTGCTGAACCAGGTGTCCAGATCTTGGACTATCAGGCATGCCTAAACTGAATGTTATCAAGTTCTTCATAGGATGCAGCTCTCTGCCCTACAAAATAAATTTATATATATATATATATCTCCTGATTAACCATGCTATCAATTTTCAGGTCTGGAATAGTCTGCACAGATGGAAGCATGATTATTCTGTGATGTCACTAGATTTGTAGTGAGACATTTTATACATCTTTAAGAACCTCCATTTGTCTCCACTTCTGCTTTATTTCCTCCATCCCAAGCCTGTGCCATAAGGTAGGCTTGGAAATCCTCATAAGCTTTTCTGCCTGACTTATAACCCATTCTGGTTATGGTTCTGCCAACAGAGACTAGAAAATGAACAGGAGAACCTAGAGAAGATGGARTCATCTCTCCCCGCTGCGAGTAAGAGAAGCATTTGTTCTAATTGGGGGCATACTTTGGAAAGGGCTTGGTTATGTTCCCAGGCGTGAGTTCCTCAGGAGATTTTCCCCTCTCCTCCCTAACAGCTGTGAGCTAACTTCTTTTTACCTTTTGAATTTCTTTACCTATTTTTTCCTTACCAAGGGAAGTGAACAAGCAGTTGAGCACCAACATAAGGTGACTTCCTGCTCAGGTATCCTGTGCAGCCTCCTCAGCTGCAGCTGCTGGCTCCTAAACTGATGGTGATCCAGGCTGTCCTAGCTATTACTCCTAGGAGTGAGCCCCTCTTGTAGTCCATCTGTTTGCTTGGCTTTGATCCTGAAAAGGCAGGAGGAACCCTTCATTTCTTTCCATGGCACAGGCACCATTTATAATTATATTATCTATGGATTCAAAGCTACCAGTAGAAGCTTCATGATATTTTTAGATTGTATTCTGGGCTCCTGTTCATTGATCTGATGCACAAATGGTTGGAAACTTCTAATGCTGTGGCCGAAACCAAACGAACAGGTATAACAACTTAGTTTCAAAATACRGAATGGTGCATTCCAGAGCAGATGCCAGGCACGGCTCCAAAGTGTCTGAAAAGTGTCTTGCTTATTTTCATTTCAAGTGAGTTCAAAATCAACAGCGTGTGAAAAGGAAGTTGATTCAGAACAAAAGAGAAACRGAAAAGTTGACATTCAAACCTGAGTTTGTTTCGAGCTGTTACAACGGACAGACATCCTCTGCACACACAGGGTACATCTAGAAACTTTCAGGCTGAAAGAGATGCCCAAGCCAGTAGGTTTAAAATGGGGCTTTAGAAAGTGATCTAAAGAGTTTCTTTTCAGAGAAGGTGTTTGCCTTTGTAGAGCTGCTGGACAGCTGTGACTGCACATGGCATAAAGTCATTGTCCATGTGTGTATTTGACAAGGAAAGTCACCAAAGCCTTTTGTGGAAGAACTCAAGCAATCTGATATCACATTTTCCACATTAATATCATRATACAGGTGCTATAACAGCTCTGTCTTTGTGATTCTTTGAGATGATAATGGACTTTTCCTCTTCTAGGGAACAGACCCGAGAACATGCTCCAAAGTGCCCTGAGGAGAAGGAAAGACCTGCTGCAGGAGCTTAGGGTAAGAGCCCTCCCTGTGGCCAGAAAGGGCCCAGCTACCTGCACACCCATCACTGATGTGGATTCAGTGTTTTCCTGTCCTYTAGTCTGGGGCTGGGCAGGATTTATTGCTCTGCTGCTTTGGAACACRAAGGCTGGGCTAGCTGATCAGGGAGAGGCCCTGGGGAGCAGCTTGGCTCTCCTCACTGCAGCTGTGGAAGCTTTTACCTGCTCCAGGTACTCGGTGGGATGGCTCAGATTGTCCTGAGCTGCTGCATCATGAGCTTTCTGTGCCAAAATGCAAAGAYGGGATTTTTAGTAGTGCCAAAGTAGGGACAATACTGACTGTTGCTTATTGCTGGTTTGTGGAGGATACCAACTATTAATGAAATGTTTTCCCAGACTTTTGGTAGCTTTTTCGGTACATTTTTCCCCAATCCTTTTTGCTTACACTTCAAGGTATGTGAAGGGAAGGAAAACTTTCTTTATGCTTACACAGGCAGTAGCAGTGCCCTGCTGCAGGTTCCCAGGGGCCAATCCCAGAGAGCACAATCATACTGTCTGCCTTGCTGTGACCAGATTTTCTTTAAGAAAAGACTTGATTTTGTAGGAGCAGCATCTTCTGGAGGAGCTTTCAAGGCCACCTGCACCATCTGGGGGAGACTGTCATAACCACAGAGCTGCCCTCCCACAAATCTACCAGATCCCCTTTCCAGCTTCCCAAGTGGAGCCACCAAGGATTATCCAGCAGGCTGTAAGGATTGTCTCCTGAAAATACCCCTAGSACTGTGTCAGTCTGAGCTGACAACCTCTTGGGAGCTGTGTGGAATTGCTCATCCCACAGAAAGGAAAGATGTGCCTCTTGCTCTTTTATGGGATCCTTGCTGCCCTCAGCAAAACCTAAGGGGAAATCCTCTTGCAAATAAGGCCCAAAATTAATAGTGGGAATGGTTTACCCTTAGAACAAGATGGCAAAAGGAGTGGCAGGGCTGCTCCAGCCCTTCAGCCAGTTCCTAATGCACATCACTGTCTGCTCATGCAGCCCACAGCCTCAAGAGCTTCTCCATGAGGATCCCAGGTTTTTCTGAAGCCTAAGCACATGACAGCCCTTCCCACAGGTGGGGGAGCTTGCCAAATCCAGCCCTGTCTCCTCTGTTTTCCTTCCTGTTGCAGATGCCACCTCAGCCTGCCACCATCATCCAGCAGCTGCCTCAGCCATCSCCTGTGATCTCACAGATTCCCCCAGCCCAGCCCTTCACAGTGCCACGCTCTGGGAGCATTAAAGAAGGTACCAAACTCTGCATGGAGCAGCCAGCTCCTGTCACCTGGAGAGGGCAGGACAGCTGCCATGCCAAGGGGAGGGGATGTGGGGTGGTGTCCAAGCTGGTCAGTGATGTGCTGTTCCATGAGCTGGTGAAGCTCTGGGAGCTGCACTCGGTAARTGGGATGGGTACAGTTGTGAGAGGCTTTCAGACAAACTCCTATCACTAAAACTAAAGAAAAAGGAACTACAAACTCAAGGGAAGCTTTGGAAAGCAAAACAGCTCAACTCATGGCACTGAGTAATATTAAAAAAGTCAAAATCATGCACAGGGATGATTCCAGAATTAGCAAACAGGCTTCTAAAATGTGRTTTTATCCTTTTGTTCCTTCCTAACATGCTGTTCAATCTCCTCAGGCTTTTATTTGTGCCCTGTGTTTGGAAACAAGACAGAACATCTGAAAGTGTTRTTCTAAATATAGTGCAATGCCCATAAAGAGTTTGTTTTTAAACACAGGTGGGTGCTACTGTGAAATAATACAAGAACTAAAACCTGGGATGACTTCCCTGGCTCAGCCTTCAGCCAAAGGTTCATCCCACACAGGAATCCTCAGKCATGAAACTGCAATATTTCTCAGCTCATGCTTCATCTAAGTGTCTGTATTTTTGAATCAGGGTTTATTTCCATAACCAAAATAGTCCCAATCCACTCATGACTTTTCTGAAGCTGCTATATGTACACTACTTTTTGTACAATCAGTAAAAAGGAAAATGAGTTGCTTTCTCTATTGTTTCCCTTTTTTTCTCCTCTCCCTCTTCACTTCTCCCCAAATTAGTTACACTGCACAAGTCCTTTGTGATGCCACAGATCACGTAAGGAGATTTGATGTGCATGAAATGRCAGTTTGAGGGTTGGACTTGATGATGTTAAAGGTCTTTTCCAGCCTTTGTGGTTCTATGAATCAGTGGACTCTCAAGGTGGCACTGCAATATCACATAAATTTGAAGGAACCTCTCACATGGAAAGCAATGATGAGGGGCTGAAGCAATGGGGAGCACGGCCTGGAGCGTGTCCATGCTGGAATAATCCACATCTCAACTCTTCTCCATCCTGCCATTCAGCACTGCCAGGGGTGTGGGCTTSCAGGGAAAGCAACAGACAGAGGATCCTCAGCAGCAGCTTTCTTGTAGAAGGGAGGAGAAACAGGAAAGCTGGGATGACCAATCCCATTCATAGACGTTAACTTTGCACTCTCTGGGGAAATAATGCCAATATTCTTCCTTTGCCGTGGGTGCAGTGACCAGGCTGTGTGCTGGAGGGCACTGCCTATCATGATGCTGCTTGGCAGTAGTGGACACAGCTCTTGTTTTCTTCTCTTCCCAGACATGGTGGAGATGATGCTGATGCAGAACGCTCAGATGCACCAGATCATGATGCAGAACATGATGCTGAAGGCCCTGCCACCCACAGCACTTGCACAGCTTGGGGGAGCCGGCTCTGCCCCGCTCCAGCACACACAGCAGGTACCAACCCCAGTCTGGAGGGCATCCTCACCCACACCAGGCAATGGCTCATCTCCCTGGGAGACCTATACAAAACACACAGGGAGCTGGGAGAGAGCCAGAGTCTGCGGAGGACACTGCACCTTAGGGAAGGTGGCAGAGGAAGAGCATGCCCTGATGGCCAYCTTCCTCCCCAGGCCATTCTGTCATTCTGCATTTCCCTGGCAATGACTGATGGAATAAATTGGAGGCAGTGGGGGCTGAATATCAGGTGAAATCTGAAGTCATCAGGTGTTTTTGGCCCTTTGGAACTTGCAGACTCTTCTCCAGACACATCCCAAAGGTCTTTCCTTTCCCAAGGATGCAGGCTCGGGTTTCTGCATCCCCCCTTTTGTCTCTCTCCAACAAGGACCTCCAGCACGGACCCCTGGCTGTGAAAGCAGAGAGGCCCGTGGTGCACCACCATCACCATTACCCTCCCACAGGGGTGTTCCCAGTGCCCCCCAGCAGCTTCCCATCCACACCCCCAGCGCAGCAGTGGAGCAGCAGCTCTGCCCATCCTGTGTAAGTAAGCAGGCAGYGGTGATGTACACTTGGAGCCCTTCYTCCCTGCCYGGGATGGGTGGCAAGGCTGATTGTGGAGTAAATGTGGGGATCTGACAAAGATCACAGAGCTCCCACTCTGCCATGCTGCATTGCTCTGCTCTGCAGGGTCTCTCACCCCACCTTTTGGGTCTTCCTGTGAACCCAGCAGTCATCTGCTTAATAAGGCAGGGGCTGGGGAGGGGGGAACTTTATTACATTCAGGCTAAGGTTCCCCGCAGGATTTATGTTCCTAAAGCACTGCTGAGACATTTGCTAATCAGAAATTCCTGGGGAAAAAAAGCCCCAAACCACCAGCTAAGAAAAATGGTACAAAGGGAGGGCAGTGTCAGAAATAATGCTGAGCCTTTGCCATAAGCCTGTGCTTGCAGCTGAAGGGTGGGGGTTTCAAGTGCAGAAATGGATGAACTTCTCCCCAGGGTGCACCCAGGTCTGTAGAGCCCTTGAGCCCTGTGCAGAGGTCACAGCCAACTCCTCCAGGGGCTCAGTTGCTTTGTGCCCTCCTCTGAGCTTGTCCTGCTTGGCTTCCTAGGCTAGGAAGTTCTTAAATGCCAAGGCTGGTAAAGAAATGCACCTTGGTAGAGCGTTGAAGGGTGGTGACACGGGGACACACTGTCAGTGAACAGAAGGACAGGATGAAAGCAGTTGCAGCCTTGGGCATGGGTGACCCGCTGGCAGGGGTATCTGTACAGTCCTCTTTAGCAGAGGTTTTGAATTCCTGAACAGATTATTTACCTAATGGGATTATAAGGGATGAACATTTCTACCTATTTCCCTTTGACACGGGTTTGTAATCTGAACCAGTAAAGAACTCATGGCTCCTGTCAGGATCAGTGTAATTCAGATGTTTGCAGAAATCAGTAAAGATCTTGCCATGGCCTTTAAATGATATTCTTCCTCTTCTTCAGCTGCCTTCCACCACAAGGTGTGAGACCAAACACATCCTATTGCAGCTGCAGMACTGCTGGCTGTTACTGAACACAATAATCCTGTTTTTCTTGTTGCAGGTGGCCCACATACTGACAGTACAGGATCCTCTGCAAGTGGACTATAGCCTTTGTAAAATCAATAAAATCCTGATGTTCTTCCTCAACCATTGGCGTGTCTTTTTCTTCAGTAATGTAAATTGAGCACTTTTCCCTCCTTTACTTTTCCCACTAGTTTTCAGAGAGTAAGCTTTAAGCCATGTCCGTGCTATCCTGGTCTTAATTTTATTTATGACTGCTTAAATGGCTCACTCAGGGTTTTTATTAGCAACACTTTCTCATGCTCTCAGCAGCCCTGGTTTTGCTTTATATAGAAAGATCAACAGTGATTTTGTAGCACTTTCTCGATATCTTCCCACCTTCTTCTGTTTTTAAAGTGGAGAACATCTGTACACTGGGTTTGCCTGATGCAGTTTGTGAGTGAGTCTGATTAAGAAAGCCCAGGGACCTAAATGTTGTTTGGAATGAAGAAAAGATAGTAATTGTCACTGCTGGAAGCTAATGGTGTGCTGTCTGTGCTCCAAAAACAATTAATGAATAATTTATTTACTAAGTAAAACCTACCTTGCTCTTTGCCCTCTCTGCTCTGTTGTCTATGAGATTCTTATTGCTCTCTACAACTTCTCACTCTCTACAACCACCTGAAAGAGGAAATGTCCTCAAGTTGTGCTACAGGAGAAATTAGGAAGAAATTCTTAGCTGAAAACATTGTCAGGCATTGGAAGAGGCTGCTCAGGGAAGCATTTGAGTCCTCCCCCATCCCTGGTCTTTAATAGTCATGTAGGTGTTGCATTTAGGGTCATGGCTTAGTGGCGTGCTTGGCAGTGCTTGGTCTCRATGCTCTTAGAGGGCTTTTYCTACCTTAACAATTCTATGAGCCAAATCTGCCGGTGCCAGGCAGGTTTAGCAATAAATTATGCTCRGTGTATGTAAATGTCTGCACTTTCACTGTCTGCTGTTTAATTATTGTATGTTGGCTCTAACTGGCTCCTCCCTTTTCAATCTGGGCAGCACTGGCTCAGCAGAGCATTTCCTCCAAGGATGGGCATGTGAAAAGGTGCCTGCAGAGATGTCTCCTCATAGCCTTGTCCAAGTCCTGGAAAGCTTCTGCAGAGCAGGCATGGACCCTCTCCTCAGCATCACACCCAAAATGCCTGGGCCACACGCAGCTTCCTTGGAGAAAAGATGTCCTCAAAGGTGGGATGAGGCTCCTGGCAAGCAGTGTGGCTCACATCCCACCCTTAGGAGAGAGTCTGTGAGGCTCCAGAAGTCACTGCACATTGTCCCACCACTGCCTCTTCAGCTGCAGCCCAGTGAAGCACCAGCAAAAGCCTGGCAGATGAAAGTTCTCCTCCTGCTCTGTGTGTGYTCCTTGGAGACTGGACCAGGATTGCTCTACAGTTTCCCAAAGAGACCTTTGGATAGAGCCTGATGGAATAACACCAAATTCCCATCTCTGCTGGGAGAGGGTGTCAGGCTGACTCCCTGATAGTCTCTGGGCTGGGAGTTAAACTTTAATATAAGCTGGGGGAGAAGAACCCAGGCATGACTCAGCCACCCACATTCTTTCCCTTCCCCTCCCCGCTGGCAAGGGCAGTGGGATTGGGGAGGAGCAGAGGGATTGCAGACGGAGCAGGGACCTGAGAGCCAGGGGCTGCCCCAGCATGGAGCCCTGTGACCCACGAGGGAAGAGAATTGCTGTTATCGGCGGGGGTCTGGTAGGAGCTGCCATTTAGCTGCTGCATCACTGTGTTTGCTGGGGAGCCGGGGCTGTAAAAGCACTGCTTGAATGTGGGGGTGAATGTTTGCCTTAAAATCATCCCTCTGTCAGATGACAGGGGTGCTGCGAAGGGGTTGATTGTGTTCCTGCTGTGGGAGGTTCCTGTCCTTTTCTCGGGGGAAGGGGTTTGGGTGGTGGTGGAGCAGTGGTGCCCAGGCAYACTGAAAACTGTTCTTGTTCAGACYGCCAGGTCCCCCTGCCCCTGGGCTGATTTTGGCTGTAACCAAATCTCTGGTGTGAAATGCTTGGCAAGGACTGAGACCTGTAAATACCAGGCTGAGAGGAAATGCCTTCCCCTGCCCACTTTTGTTTGGGAATGGTTTTCATCCRCTGCTRCTTGCAGAGAGGTCTGACACTYAAGATCAGGCTGGATSGGGCTCTGAGCAACCTGGTCYAGKGGAAGGTGTCCCTGCCCRTGGCAGRGRRTTGTAACAAGATGGTCTTGAGCRTCCCTYCCTACCCAAACTGTTCTATGAATCTGTGATTATATCACAGCTTGGGGTGTTGGAGCACATACATCTCTCTCTTGACTTCTTGGACATTATCTTCTTGGAAAAGAGTGCTGACAGAGGAGGCTGTAGTTCTGACAACAATTCATAATGGAAATTGAATTTTTAAAACTATTTAAATTACAAACAGGGCATATTTGTASTGTTTTCCCTTACTGTGCTCCCAAGGGAATGCTGCAACACCCTGATTCTATTGAGGAAGGTAAACAGTTCAGAGAGGAGCTGGGAGCTTGCCTACACCAGCTCCTGGCTGAAGAGGTGAGCCCTGCTGCACTCAGTCGCTGTGTGGAACAAGCCTGAGCTTGGGGTGACTTTATAAAAACAGTTTTGATGGGTGGCTTTTGTCTTGGAGACTCTGCAAACACACAGGGCTGCCAGAGGACTGCTCTTCAGTGAAAAGCMTTCTAAGGCTCTTGGTCAAAGGACCTACCTGCTTATGCTGAGCTGCATCCCCTGATCACTTCTTTCCCTTGATGCTTCTCAGTAGTGACCTCTGAAATACCTCATCCACCACTCCTGATCCTTCTCTTGCAGGTGGGTGCATTAAATGCCTGTTTCTTTGCTAGACGAGGCTTCCATGTCGATGTTTATGAAGCCAGAGAAGGTAAGTTCAGCCTGATCATCACTGTGTGAGCTCACTTAAACTGTAGGGAAAAAAATGAAATCTAGGAGCGGCAGTTTGCGGATATTCTTTTCTCTCTCCCCTTTAGCTCCTGTGGTGGGGAGGAGCATTTATTTGAAGTTCATCYTGCATGGAGGGACCCCACCCTTTAGCTACTAAAATTATTCCCTTTTTATGGCTTATACCCCGATTCAAATCCTCACCCTTGAAGCCTGGTCTCTGCAGGAAGAATTACAGTACAGTGCTGGATCAGAAGGAGAGATGGAGCCTCCAGCTCCACAGGGCGCCACAAAAGGGAAATTAGGAATTAGAGYCAAGATGCTGGCTGAAAGGCAGAGAAGTTGTTCATCTTGAGTATCTGCCAGCTGGCAGTCAAATAAAACCTGAGCAGAGGTGCCAAGCCAAGTGGCAGGTGAGAATGCCCCYGTGGAAGGTGAAACTGAGCTCAAGCGTGCACTGGAGGGAAGGAGGAGCCTGACACAGCTCTGTGCTAACTCTTCCTGCCCTGATGGACATCAGAACAGGCAGTTCTGCTGCATGGCTCACAGCTGCCAGGAGTTCCATAGGCTTCAAAAAGCCTCTGACTGCTCTTACCTGCCTTCTGRGTTGGATGGATCTCACTGTGCTGCTCCAGTTTTTGGTCCATTGCTCACTCCTATGCATATTGGGATGAGGAGGCTCTGCCCCACACACTGGACAGATAACCATGGAAATCTAAATGAGGCAACTCAGAGGAGGAAAAGGCCAATGCCCAGACATTTGTGTCTGATCAGCCATGAAGAAGGTCACCTGCCAATGTCCCAAAAACCATCAGTCTGTGGGCCTCAGCAGAATGTGCCAGGCATTCATTGCTCAGCCTTTTCTGTTTGGAGGGGAAATGG